GAATCCTACCCAGAACTATGGCAAACCAGACAGTGGCCTACTTTAGTAATCACACACCTTTGATCTTAGCATCAAACACTTAATCTCAGCGTCACACACTCTCGACCCAGCCACCTCTGCAAAGCCCCACCTATGACCACATGAGGCTTTGGGGAGACATCTAGACTTAAGCCATAACAATTACCTTCTCTCTGAAGCTTTCCCTGATCTGGACATCCTTCTTCTGTGTGTGTAGGACACTTCCCTATAAACATATCTACTACATTGCTATTGGTACCGGGGATCGAACTTTTTTTTTTTCCTCAGTACCGGAGATTGAACTTGGGACCTTGCACTTGCAAGGCAGGCACGGTGCCACTGAGCTAAATCCCCAGCTCAGGTACTGTACTTTTTTTTACACAACTTAATTATAAGTTCATCAAGAGGAGAATCCAGGATGTGGTGGACATTTTATCTCTGGCATGTATGACAGTGCCTGGCATAGGTCAATGTTCACGAAATTTGTAAACTTCAAACTTCCAGGGAAGCCTTGGAAAGATCCTATCCAGTCAGTGTTGGGACTTAGTGCTCTGAGAATAGTTATGTAAGTCCAAGGAGGTCCAGAATATGGTGTAGAAGATTTTATATAGGTGAGTATTGGAGTGGAATCTAAGCCAATAGCACCCTCTCTCTCTCTCTCTCTCTCTCTCTCTCTCTCTCTGGGTCTCTCTATCAGTTAAGAGGTTCCAGCTGCCCTTGGAAAAACATGACCTGAGATGCACAGGCTTGCTTTGCTTGGCTACAAGGCAGCAATTTCTGGGATGGCAGCAAGATCATGGATTGTGGCCTTGAATAGGCTGTGCCAAACCCTGTATGACAACAGGATTGATCTTCGGACTGCATGCATCCCTATGGTCACTGCCTACAGGTACCCCTGCAGTTAAAAAACAAGGGAGCAATGGGTAGGATGTTCAAGGTCACTGAAATAAATGATTAATTCAAAAGCCAAAAACTGATACGATGAAAGTTCAGGGAAGCTCAGAGTTTACGAAATTTATGGGTAAGATAAAAAATTTTAAAGACCAAATTTGTTAAATTTTAACTTGAAGACAGATGAGGTAAAAATAAAAAGGAAAAAGGTAGTAATAGTAGTGATGCAGATAAAAGTTATGTAGAGAGAATAAAAATATTAAACCAGACTACAAGAGATAGGGATCTTGAACAGAGGTCAGCAAACATTTTCCATAGAGTTTGCAGGCTGCATGGTCTCTTGTAATTCCTCAACTCTGTCCTAGTGGTGAGGAAGGAGTGATAGACTGTATATAATGACTGGGCGGGGTGCTGCCCCAGTAGAACTTTATTTCCAAAAACAGGCCACTGCAACAAAGAGAAAACTAAATAAATGTTTGAAACCTGGATGAAGGACATGAACAAACATTTCTTTAGAGAAGATACACAAGTGGCTGATAAGCACATGAAAAACTGCTCAACGTCATCAGTCTTCAGAGATACTTACATCAAAAGTTCTAGGAAGCTGGGTGCTGTGGAGCACTCCTGTACCCTCAGCACTGAGGGAGGCTGAGGCAGGAGGATTGCAAGTTTGAGTCCCACCTGGGAAATGTAGTGATTCTTGTTTCAAAATTAAACAATAAATAGGCTGGAGATACAGCTCAATGTATAGTGCACCTGGGTTCTGTCCCAAGTATCACAAACAAAGTGAAACCCAAAAATCTACAAGGAGATTCCATCTTACTTCCACTAGTATGATTTCTGTTGAGACAAAACAGTGAGGCCCAACCCTTTCTGAGAAACACTATCCCCTTTTTCTTTGACACTGGAAAGACAGGGTGGTCTTACCCATCTGACTGCTGCCACACCCCTCTCCCTTACCTGACGACTAGGCTGCCCCAAGTGTGACCCAGGAGGGTAAAGGTTGGCTCTGGAGTCTTTCCACAGCCTCTGAGGTTACCCCACCAGCCGGCCTGTAGGCCCATGCCTGTCCCTGTGGCCCTGACAGGTGCAGGCTTGGCTGATGGCCACAGAGTGTGTCCTGGCCCTGCACCTACCCTGGTGGGTGCTGCCTCTTCCTCCCCGAGGAACACCTGAGGATGGGGCCTGACAGAATAAAGACTGGGGCTGAGTCCGCCACTGCTGTTATCCCTGCTGTTCCAAACCCTGTTGAGCCATGATCAGCATGGCCACAGTGCCTCCAAACTGTGGGAGGCAGCGGTAGTCACAACTTCAGGTCTGCCACTTTCCCTGAAAAGGTGGGAGCCGTCAATCAAGCAGCCGTTTCTCCCACATTTTGGCCTGGCTGTTAACATGACAGCCGAGGCTGTCTCTTAGCAACTCAGCAGCACTCTGGGGAACTGAGAACTCTGCTGCAGCCATGGCTGCATCTGACACCTGGAAACTTCACCTCTCCTTTGAAACCTGTTGACCCATGAGCACCCCAGATGATGACAATGGTGCCACCTGCCTGCTGGGAAGTACAGCCTGGACCTCACTTCCCAGCTAATCATGGTTCAACCAGTATCTACTTATTCAACCCCAATGTGCCTACTTTATTAGATGTTTGGGAATTGGAGACTTTAGTGCAACAGGGTTTTCAGCCTGGAATTTGCTTTCTTTTCCCACTCTGGCAAGTTATGCACTCTGTCTCAGCTAGTTCTCATCAGCTCTGTTTCTGGTCCAGGCAGAGTAGCCGTGGGGATTGTGCCAGAGCCGATAGACTGTTGAGAGGAAAGGAGGTGAAAGCTGTAGTCTGGGGCCACTTGGGCCTGGCTTGTTGGGTACAGGCAGTGGCAAATCTCTTTGGACCCCTTGAAGTTATCTGTGTTCTCTCTGTCCTGGTATGGGCTCAACTGAGGGTCGTATGCCTACAGATGAAGTAGTTTGAGGCACAATGATACTGCACTCAGGTACGGTCGTGTCTTGTAAGGGTAAATTTTATCCAGGAGTTGTAAACTTACATAAATAAAAATTAGAGATGTAAGTTTAAAAGGAGGAACAAAATCATTTTATTGGAAAGAGGAGAGCAGTGAGGAGATAGACAGTTACCTTGTTGGAGCAAGGAAGGGAGCCCGGAGCTGGTGGGCGAGGGTCTTTGTTCTTAGCACCTTTTATTATTTGGGGAAAAAAGACTTGCTTTTCTGAAATTTGTTACAATTTGATGGGGGTGTTTCAGGCTCTGAGAACCCTGATTTGGCCACTGACCTGCTCCGTTGCCTATGTGCAAATTCTTGGGCAAGCTCATCTAGCCCTTCTTTGTCCTGCCCAGGTGCTACCTCTAAAACTTACGATAAGCCTCACATACAAGGTCAAGTTAGCAATTAGTAAAGTGATACGTGTACATTTAGTGCAGCGACATGGTGAAATACATATGCACAGGTGCAGGGGTGAGTATATATTTTATATACTCAGTGAGTTTTCTATAACCCAGCCCCTCCCCCCTTTGTCTCCTTTGTACTTAAGTAGAGAAAAAGCAATGGAGAAAAGCAAACTGGGCCCCTGGCACCAGGTGGGGCCAGGCTGCTTATCAGTTCTCTGTGCTTCTCTTGGTTGTTCTCTCTAGCAAAGGGTTTAACTCCTTCTAGTCAGGATTTGCCAGAAACCTCACTAAGGCTCTTACTTTTCCTTGACTGTCCCCCAACTTTCCCTACAGTACCACTTAGTGAACTTAGACTGTCAGCTTCCGAAGGACTGATGAGGACACTGCTCAGCCTTTCTTTGTGGGCCCTCCCGTGCCCTGTCCCTTTTCACACAGGATTTGCTGGCTCCCTGGGTGTGATGGGGCTCTCTTTCAACCTGCACTGACATGTTCTGGACCTTCGAGTTAGATCCTTCCTCTGTATGCAAACACAGGCCTGAAGGAAGTTCCTTGTATAAAAGAATATCTGTGCAGGGAGGGAGTGATGGGGTCTCCTGTAGGGAGAAGAAGACAAGTGCAGCAGAGAGAGTGCAGAGTTGGAGAGACAGATCCAGGCTGCATCCAGCCTTGTCCCACTTACTAGCTTTGTGAGCATGAGGAAGTCACTTTACCTCCCTTCTTGATAACAGGTGAACACAGAATTAGTATTCCGGGGCTTTTGCGTGAATTTTCTAATCCTCTGTTATAATTTCTAGAGGGTATGGTATAAAGTGCAGAGTCTCCTAAGCAGTCACCCTTATAAGGTACACACTGGTTAAAGGAAATTGAATAGTTTCCTACCAGAGCTGGGACCTAAGCAGACTGTGACCTGAGTCCATGTGAAAAGATTCTTATCAGGGTCCTAATGTGTACCTTGAGTATACCTTTTCAAACTCCGAAGGAGCTGCACACCCAGCCTCCTGCTTTCCATTGCCCACTGGCAGGCCGATGATCTGTAACTACCTGAAGTCTAGCTGTTTTCTCCCAGGACTTGTGTTCCCTACACTGGCCATGTGGGACATCCAGTAGGGCCTTGAGAGGGTAGGAGGTGGCAATGAGGAGCCAGGACATTGTCTCCTACCCAGGGACCTGGAGAATCAGGGAGCCAGATTCCTGCAGTTCTGGAATTAACTTTTTTCCCCCCCAGTACCAGGGATTGAACTCAGGACCTTGAGCTTGCCAGGCAGGCACAATGCCACTGAACTACATCCCTGGACCCTGGAATGAACTTAGTGTACTTTTGCCTTTTCTTCTTAATAATAGCCCTTATTTTTTTCTGCATAAGGTGCTTCTCAATCATACTATTAAAACGTCTTAGCCTCCTCCAAAAATCACCAGAGTCTCCTTCCTAACATTGCTGTGCCCTGCATTAAAGCCAAGCTGACCATCCTGACCATCAGTACTTGTGTCTGCTTTGAGGAGCATGACTGGATCCCTCTCTGTGTAGCACAGCTTCATGCTCCCCAGCACCACGGTGCCTCGTATGCAGTCCTGGTCCTCAGTGAGGTCCCTGTTTCAGCTCTGCCAGACAGCAGCCAAGCCCAATCCACACTGTTCTGTCATATTCTCTCTTTCACTCAATTCGTCAGCTGTCACTGATACTACCAAAGGACTGGTCTGGAGGTGGCTGGGTTCATAGGGATTCTGGAGGGCTGGGAAGGGGTTTTAGCCTTCTTGGTTCCATTTCTGACACCCTCAGAGCAGGCAGCACCGGGAAGTTCTCTAGAGAATAAAGGACCCTTTATGTAGGCCTGTACCTCTCATTCATTCCTGCAGTGTCACTGAGGACTCCATGGTGAGGCAGGGCTGTGTGTCTCACTGACTAGGGGCCCCACTGGGTGGGAATCTCTAGCAGGGCAAGCCAGAATCCTTTTTGCTTTCCACATGTACGGTGTATCACATCTGTTGGGTCTCCAGGATCCTGTCTCTACTCAGTTTCTCAGATACCTTCAGGGCATCCTCTCCTGACTTGATGCATGCCTAGCATTGGGACCATCTTTCTTAGTTTAACCGTCTCTTCTGTGAAACTGTGAGTTAAATTTCTACTTTTACACTTGTTAATTGTTACTGTTTGTGCCTCTTCTCACTTGACAGATTACTGTCTGTGAATCTCCCTGTGTTCAGCTCTCTCTCTATTTAACCATTCTCAGCCTGTGATTTAGTCAATTCCCAGAGAACTCTTCATAGATGAGCCTGTGGCAGTCAAAACCTCCATTTGCTGCAGGGATAATGTAATGAGTTGTAGTTGTGTTCTGGGTTTCTATCACCTAATGGGATGCTTAATTTTATGGGTCAAATAGACTTCACTGAGGCCTCCCCAGATAGCTGGTAAGAGATTTTGTCGGGGTGCATGTGTGAGGCTGTTTCTAGAGGAGGTGAGCAGTTGAGTCAGTGGACTCATTAAAGAAGATCCACCCTCACCACTGGGGTTAGACATCATCCAATGGACAGGACCCCACTGGGACTAAAATTCAGAGGAAGGGTGAATTTGTTCTCCTCATGGGAGGGATGCCCATCATCTACACTGCACTCCTTGTTATCTGGCTTTCGTCCGGGACTTCCCCCAACATCCCTTAATGTCTACTCTGTATCTCCTCAGGCCAGCTGACTTGGTCTCTGTACACTGGAGGCTTCCTGACTTCTCCTAATTACAGAAGGTAGATTATGGGATTCTTCCACCTCTATGTTCTGTGAGTCAATCCCCATGGTAAATCATATATATATATATATATATCCATAAAAATGTCTATACTTTCTATAGATTCTGTTTCTTGGAGAACCCTGACCAGTACACAATATAAATAAATACACAAATTGATCACAATCAGTGAATAACATAACATAACATACTAGGACATATACATTTAATGGGAGGCTATTTCTATTTGAAATGAACTGGCAGAGATACTTTAAAATACAGTTCCAAGAAGAATGGAGGTTAAGCATCTTTGGAAGTTAAGATATCTCCCTTCCTCCTGGTAAATTTCCCTGTTCAGTGTCAATATTTTAAGGACTTCTGAAGGCACATCACTTGTTTGTCTGTATATTTTGCTGATTTCATGTCCATGAGGGTGTATGGGAGGCTTTTAAGGGTGGCCAAGCAGTGGGAAAGGAGCTGATGCTGTGTTGATTTCCACCACCGATTTCTATCACAATAGCAAGCGTTAGGTGCTTATATATTCCATTCTGGCTTTTCCAATAGTGGTATTAAATACAGAGGTGGCTCTAGTCAGGTCATTGTCATTTGGAGGTGACTTGAAGTTTGGGGTACACTCTTCTCAGTTATGGTTCATACCTTTCAAAAAGAAGTTCTGTTCCTCCTGTCTGGCCCTACCTCAGAAGCTCTTGAAGAATTACCACACAGGGGCTAGGCTCAGACTGCCTAGGCCTAGAACGGGGTACTGACTGTTTGGGAGGCCAGCCACTTGGCTACCACAGTCACACCCCTCCATACCCCGTACCCTGGAAGACAGGGCTGCCCAGAGTCTCCACCTGGTTACCCGATTCTCTGCTTAATTCTCTTTTTATCATTTCTATTCTGCACCCTGATGCCACAGGGGCTACCCTCAAGGTAAGATTGTTTCTAGGCCCCCTCTGCAGCACCCACCTCACCCACTAGTTTCCAGGAGAGCTAATATCTGCTCCAGTCTCCTTCCTGCTAGCCAGTTTTTCTAGGGCACTGTTTTTCCAATTGTAGCTTTTGACCCTCTTGTGGATCATAAAGTAGGGTTTTTAACTTGTGCCCGACTGCCAGTTTGGACAAATAGTTCTTTGTTGTGTGTGTGGGCAGGGTAGCAGGGATGTACATTGCAGGTGTTTAGTGGCAGACCTAACTTCTGCCTAGGCGATGCCAATAGCAATTCCCAGTTGTGACCATTGCCAAATATCCCCAGGGGGCCAAAATTGCCTTCTGTTTCAGATCAGTGTATTGGATGGAGAATCTCATTTTTAACAGTAGAGTAGAAGAATAATTAAATAATTAATAATGCAGAATGGTACTCATGCAAGCCAGATGAAAATTTTTAATAAAACTTTTATTTCAACTAGTAATATATGTAGGCATGTTCTGGAACATGTGATAAATGTACTTATTTTCTTTCCCACTTTTTATTTTAATATAAGACTGAGAAAATTTGCAAAATGAGTACAAGTCACTTCTGTATTCCTCAGCTGTCTACTGTGCTCACATTGCCCTTTTCCTCCATCCACCTCCCTCCCCACCTCCCCTTCCCCCTCCCCTCCCCGAATCTTTATGGCTGCTATGTATGAGTATGAAGGAGTTAGAACAAAACTATCTAGAATCAGCCATGGTTGATTTTGGATTCAGGGACAGAAGGGACAGGGATTTATAGTCATCCTCACTATATTTTCTTCTCAGGCTGGATCTTTCATGCCATTGTTGTGTGTACATTATGTCAATTTATGTAATATATTGGGAAAGCTTTGAAATTTCATTCACCCAATTTCTGAGACCTCACTGTCTTTTCCTGTTACTATTTGCCTTTATTATGCATTATTATTTCATTCAGATCTTATTTTCTTTGAACATATGTTTTGTTATCTTTGTGTTTTACCCACCTGTTTGCACTAAGCAGTGGGTTTAGCTATTTCAGCCTTTGTCAGTGGAAGTCCATGATGCTGAGTCCATGCATAGCCTGGCACCGTGGCCACTTTGTTCATAAGCCATGAGGAAATGACAAGGGTGGCTAAGAAAACAAGTTGACTGCTACCCACAAATAGGTCATCTTATTCACTATGTGATGATAACGATTATTTTGCAGTACTGGGGATTGGAGTCAGAACCTCCCCATAGAGTTACATCTCCAGCCCTTAAAAGATTAATTAATTATTAAACTTTTGAGGCAGAGTCCTCCTAAATTGTTAAGTAAGGAGATGGAGCTCAAACCCACAATCCTCCTGTCTCAGCCTCCCAGAGTGCTGGGATTACAGATGTGCATCTGGCTTCCACTTGATTATGACAGTGGTCTTCTGCTGAGGTAAAATTTGCATGGAACACATGTATCTTCACATCTTTCACTCATTTAAAGAAGTCTGTCTACATACCTCTTTCCCAAATGTCATTTTTGTTGTTGCAGTACTTGGCATTGAACCCACCACCGAGCTACATTACCAGCTTTTTATTATTTTTTAAATTTTAAAATAGCATCTAGGTATGTTGCCCGAGCTGGGCTTGAACTTGGGATATTCCTGCCTTGGCCTCCTACTAGCTGGAATTTCAGGGGTGTACCACATCACCTAGCTTTCCCCAAGTGTCTTTCTCAACAAATTTTCAATCATATTCCTTCCAAGTTCCTGACCAGCCAGCCAGATCATCAACTGCAGCCACTGCTGAGTCTTCAGTTTACCAATAGTATAGACCAACACTGAGCCTCCAAAATGGCACCATTCCCTGGACTTATTCGCCAGTGTCCCAGGGACAGGTTGATTATATTGGACCACTTTCATCAGTGAAGGGGCAGCACTTTGTCCTTACTGGAATAGATACTTATTCTGGGTACGAACTTGCCTTCCATCCATGTAATGTTTCTGCCAAAACTACCATCTTTGGACTTAATAGAATGTTTATGGGTTATCATGGTATTTCACACAGCATTGCTTTTGACCAAGAAATTTGCTTCATAGCCAGAGAAGTGCAGCACTGGTCCTACCATGTCCCTCAGCATCCTGAAGCAGCTGGCTTGAGGTGTTGGAAGGGCTTTTAATGATGCAGTTACAGTGCCAGCTAGCTGCCAATACCTTGCAGTGTTCTTCAGAAGTCTATGTGCTCTGAATAAGCAGCTGCATATAGTATTATTTCTCTGAGCTGTGACAAACCCATAGTGACCCACTAGCAGAATTTCTACTCCTTGTTCCTACAAATTTACACTGTGCTGGGCTAGAAGTCTTAGTTCCACAGAGATTGGGGCATGTGTGCTTCTACCAGGGGGCACAACAATGATTCCATTGAAATGGAAGTTAAGATCCCCCTAGGCATTTTGGGCTCCTCCTGGCTCTGAGTCAGTAGGCTAAGAAGGGAGTTATGGTGTTGGTAGGGGTGACTGATCCAGATTTGTTCCAATTTACCAGGGGAAAATTGGACTACTCTTAAACAACAGAGATAAAGAGGAGTATGTTTGAACTGTAGGAGATCCCGTAGGATATCACCTTGTATGACTGTGCCTTGTTATGAAGGTCAATGAGAAACTCCTATAACCTAATTGAGGCAGGATGAAAAATGACCCAGCTCCTTCAGGAATGAAGGGATGAGTTACTCCTCAAGATAAAAAATCAAGACAGGCTGAAGCACCCTTGGCCTTGGGGTATATAAAATAGGTAGTAGAAAGTAGTTAAAAGGGGTAATCAAAATATACAGTTAATGCTTAAATTAAAAAACTTATTAAAGTAAAAGACACATTACCATCAATCCCTCTTGAAACATTCCCCCTCACTCAAACATACTTAAATCATCATTCTTGTCACTCTCTCAAGTGGTTTCGGAAGGCCTCTTTTGTATCTTTATAAGATGTGATAAAAAATATGGTATATGTTGCTGCTAATTGTCATCCAACCAGAAGGCAGACTTGTAAAAACATTAAGGTGTGTCTTTGTTCACCTTCTTCACTAGATCTGGCACCATGTGAATTCTGGCTCTTCTTCAAATGCAAAATGAAAATGATAAGTAAACATTTTGAATCTGTTAAGAACATGAAGGCAGCCAAGACAGCAGAACAAAAGACATGAAAAAGAACTTCTAGAACTGCTTCAGAAAGTGACAAGAATCATAGAATAAGTGTGCTTGAAGTGAAGGTGAGTATTTTGAAGAAAAATAATGACAATGTATCTTTTACTCTAATACATTTTCAACCACACCTTGTATATATACCGTATACAACCATATGACAAGTTACATACAGAAGCAGAGATGGTACATTTTAGTCCTTATTTCCACTTTCAGTTTCTCATACCAGAGAAACAGTGGCTATCAGGAAATGGGAAGAAAATGCTCAAATGGGAAGGGGAACAAGGGAGGGAGGAGGGGAAAAGGAAAGAAGGGACAAGAAAAAAGGTGAAAATAGAAGGAAAAAATGGAAACAAATTTTTTATATATAGGGAGAGGGGGAAGAAAAAAAAGAGGCAGGATATATCATGCACAGGTGCAAATTCCCAACGATGAGTGTTCTCATTATATATATATATCTAAAATGTACCAATGTTTTTCTTCAAAAAAATAAAATAACTGAATTAATTAAATTAAGTAATTTGAAAAAAAAAAAAGAAGCAAGGACAGAGCTACTGATAGGATGTTCTTTTGGAGGTTGTACCATGGGTCCCAGATGAGACAATGACTCCATGGAACATTTGAGTACCCCTCTCCTACCACGGCCAGATATGGGTCAGGAACCAGGATAGGTCAGAATCCAGGGACCTTGACAGCTGGAGGTCTTGCCCTGGCCTGGGGATGGTCCTGTGTGGAGTCCTCAAGTGTCCCCTCTGGACACCCTCCTGTCTTGCCTTGGAGCCCTGATCTTCCACCCTAGCTCACACTCCAGCTGTGCCCACTGCATTCACAGCCCCTACGCTGGTCAGCAGGACAATCTCTTAGCAGTGGGAGTATGTTGTAGTGGGGGTACCTTTGATACTTTGTCTCCCACGCTATCTGGTTCTTGCATTTAGGGTTCCACAAATAGGGGTGAAATGCTAATTGGCTCATTTGAATAATCTTTAGCCAGATAACTGAAGTATCCAGTTGCCCCAAATTCCCTAAAGGAAAACACGGAGACCACAGTTTGTGTCTCCCCCTTGTCCTGGGACTTCTCGTTTCACTGACCCTATTTCTGCACATGGAGTCCTCATTCCCTATAAAGCATCAAAGAACTTTCTGACTTGCCAGTGTCCTCTTCTTCCAGTGATGGCTGCTGAATTACATCTCAGGTTTTAGGCCTGAGCCAGGCGGCCTGAACCTCCCAGGGCCCGCATTGCTGAGCATGTGAGGAGGGGAAAGGGGTGGGTCAGCTTTGTTCTTCCTTGGTCTGGTGCGTGTCCAAGTGCACAGCCAACACCCTGTGGACTCAGCAGAAGGGGTAGGCTCAGGGATCCGAGGGCAGGTCTGAGGAAGAAGGGGGCCGAGTTCTGCTTTTGGCTTCTGAGTGTCCAGACTTCGCTCCTTGGACAGGCTTCCAGCACAGATTACTGCTCCACTGGGTTTCTGGGGTCAGATGTCGCCCACAGGGCTTCCGTGTTAGAGGCACTCAGGGAGGGCGGGGGAGGAAGCACAGACTAAGGGGG